CTTTAGTTTTCATTGTACGAAGTTTCAGACTCCTACAAATAGAAGGTAATCTAGAGGACTCTTATTTCTTCTCTTTGAAACCATCTGTTGTTGTTGGTTGGTTTTAGTTCCTGTTTTATACCATGTGTGTGTTGACGCTGCTAGATTTATATTTTGTAACAGCCATAGTTTATGAATATTTAGATTTTTAAAAAAAATTTAATAGTCTGAACCATTTACTTCTAGTGACTAGCACTTAGCAATTATGCTAATTGTTTCTCCTAACTTAGAAAGTATGCATGTTTGCAGAATTTTATGCTATGTTTTACTGATAATTATATTTAATACTCAGTAACATTAATACATTTATCGCTTTCATTTGTTTCTTCTTGTAATGCATTGCCTTCATGCTGAATAATTTGCTATACCAATTCTAAGTAAATTGATATATTATTCCTATTTTAAAATTTAATAAATAATGGAATAACGTATTTAGGTAAGAATTCATTATATTCTGGAGATATTAATTTATAAATGAGAATCTTAAGAGCACATGAGGTCATAGTTATCTGGGTCACTATTAAGTGACATTATCACTAGTCACAGGTTGAAGCAAATTGTCTGTACAAGCTGAATAGAACTGCAAAGCACAAACAGTATAAACAATCATTTTCTTCATAGGCAGTTAGAATGTGTTATTCTTAAACTGGAAAGCTTGCTATCGCTTTGAATAATGAGTTGACTGACAAGTATATTGTAAAGAATGGGATGATTTTAAATTCTTTCTCTTTGCCTCTTTAGGGTAACTGTGCTTTATATTCACTGGTCTGTTTCAGGGCTTGTATTTCACAATTGTTGCATGATCATGTAGAAAATGGTCTATTATTTGCCTGACTATAGTACTAAAAATATTAGAAAATATTTTTTGTTCTGTTGATTACACACAAATAAATTATCCTGTTTACATGTACCTTACTGAACTACTTTAGGAATATTGGCTAGAGTCTGACATACTCTGGCATAGTCTTCATTCATCCTTTCAATATATTAAATACTTTTTTCAGGCACTGTGACTGGAGTTAACTGTATAAATTAATTTAAAACATTCTTGCTGGGGATACAGCCTAGCGACATAAGCACCTGCCTGATAAGTGCGAGGTTGTGATTTTGATCCCTGGTACCTCCCCCCAAAATCATTTTCTTGTTTAATCCAACAATAAGATTTAACTGGGAAACAAAATACAGCCGAAGACACTTCATCACCAAAATTTTCTATACCCATACACGTAATAAATCATGCTTGTTGCTAAGAGAAGTAAGTTTTAAGATTGATTTTTCTACATTGAAGGACCCATAATTTTTTTCAGTGTTAAATCTTTATTAGATTTATCAAAGTTATGCTTCTCCATAAAAGAATTTGGAAGCTCTTCATTTTTTATACCTTAGAACTATACTACCCAATAATACAGTTGCCAGCGGAAAAGTGTAGCTATTTAAGTTCAAATTAATTAAAGTAAATAAAATTCAATCCCTCAGAGAATTAGTTGCATTCATGTATTTAAGTGTCCAGTAGCCAAAATGGTCAGGGCAATTGGCAGTTAGAACGTTAATCACAGAAACTTTTAATTCCCAGCCATACTGGAAAAGATTTTTCAAGGTAACCAAATTGTCTGTCCTTTAATGATATGATCCTTTGAAGGAATACTACCTGGAAAAATATTTGTATGTCTTTGATAAATATTGATATTCCTTTTTGCCTACAATTCCTGGACTCAGTTGTTTCTTTCTTTCTTTCTTTTTTTTTTTTTTTAGAAAAACCAATAAAAACAATGATACAAAATATCAAAACAAGATAGTAGAAGAGTAACAAGGGACTCACAATTTAATTGGAGAGTTAACATACATAAATTGTATCTTGCTACATACAATAATTTATGTTGTATCTGTAGGAAGACCTAATAATGTATTTCTAAATTGAGGTCCTGAGGGAAGGGTGAAGGAAGTAGTATTCATAATAATAATGACATGACCGATGCAAGTCAAAATTGTCCCATGCAAGAATTATGTAAGGTCACCAGTCACTGGATATATCAATAATTAGATAGATATTCTGAGGAAGGATAAAGTGTATAGAGGTCTGATTGGTCACCCAGGCCAATGGAAAATAGCCTTAAAACTGACCAGCAGCAATTCGGAACTGATTGGCGATTTTTGCCGGGAGGTGATCTATAATGAATGTATCAATTTGGCAGAAATAGAAATTTGGGTAGAGAAATAGTAGTAATTGGCCCGAAGAGCTTGAATTGTAAACAGTATGATCTCTGGAGTTACATTGTCCTAGTTTATTATCCATCTATAAAATAGCAATAATAGTTATTAACTCTTAGGGTTGTATGAAGCCTGATTCTGTACTTTGTATGATTAGTGAATGTTAGTTCCTGGAACACGCCGACAAAATTTTAAACTTTTGAGAGTATTTGGCCACGTGCAAGATGGATTGGGCTGAGAGTTTGACAGCAGATTTTCCCACTCAGATCCTTGATACACACTTGCATGGGACATTGTTGTGGGCTGTAGCCTCCAGCTGGACTCGTGAAGAACATTGCTATAGGTTCTAGGCCTTCAGCTGGACTCGTGCAGGACATTGTTATGGGACCCAGATTCTTTGGTTCTCTAGTATGTGGACAGAGTCTCTTGCACTTTTCTGCATTTGACTTAGGTGAACATTTAAAAATAATCCTGTACATTATATGTCCTGTATTAAATCTGTTCCCTTGCAGACCCTGACTGCAACAAGGGAACAGCAGCACACCCAGTTAGCAGGTGTCACTTGATGGGGATGTGTTCTGAGGAGTATGCTGTTACGCAGTTTTGTCGCATGTGAACATCATAGAACATACTTACAGAAATTTGTACACCTAGCTATATTTGTGTGTGTGTGTGTGTGTGTGTGTGTGTGTGTGTGTGTGTGTGTAACAGTCATAGTCCGAGGGCGTATGTATCATATTTGAATACCCCATTGCTGCTAAGGCCACAGTAAACAAAGCAGCAGGCGAATAAAGCACAAGAGAAAATGATGCAACTCTTAGAGTTGTGGTTAACACAATAGCATGAGTGTGCTGCCTGTGAAACACAGCATGTTGTTTACAGTAACTTTTTTAATAAGTAGAAGTACATTCAAATAATGATAAAATAATGTATATTAAGTGTATAAACCAGTAACACAGTCATTTAAAATTATCCAGTGTTACATACTGTACATAAATATAGGCTGGCCATGCGTATGACTGGCAGCTTAAGTTTTGTTTACACCAGTGTTACCCAGTGTAAGAGATGTGCTACTATACTATGCTGTGTGACTGTGACATCACCAGGTGGAAGAAGCCATTATAATCTTATGGGACTGCCCATCATTGGTCAGAATGCTGTTTATGCTATTCCAAACAGGTGGTATTGGAGCTGAGGGAGTGGATGGAAATGTCTCAATGATAGAGTGTAGGATGTGGGTAGGGGGTGGGCTGACATATCTGGGAACATTGAAAAGGCTAGTATTTGCTTGTATTACTGGGGGGTGAGGCAACTGAAAAAGATCAAAGAAGCTGAATAGTCATTCCAAAAAGATCAAACACTAGGATCTGTGGGATGGTAACATAAGAAAGAAAATCAGTTCTGTAGCTAGTGCTAACCAGAAGTTACACAAATACGTTCACTGTTTTTTGGCCTTTTAATGCATGAAATATATGTGGCAAATCTCTTAAGGGAATATGTGAAGTTGTGTTTTGCAGATTTATCTGAGCACTGGACTCTTTAAGTTTCAACCTAGGGCTGAGATGCTAGGATTGACATCAGCTGTAATTGTGATTAAGTTATCATTATCTTATCCAATGTGGTGGCGCATGCCTGCAATTCCAACACTTGAGATGCTGAAGGGAGGAGGATTGCTGCAAGTTTGAGGCTAGCCTTGGCTACAGCTTGAGTTTAAGGCCAACTCGAAATGTATAGCAAGACCCTGTCTCAAAAAGCCAAACAAACAAGATACAGTAGTTATATCAGATGGTACTGTGGTAGGTAGCAGTTTACTCATTGACGATCTAGCATCTTAAAGATTTTCTAGTATTATTAATAAGAAAAATTATGGAGAGCCAGGGTAACCTGGGACTTGGCACTTGGTAAGCTGATGGCATTCTTTGTTACAAAGAAGCTAAGCTAGAGTGCTAACCTTAGGACCAGACCCAACTTTCAGTAGTGTCTTTTTTTGTCTCTTTAACAGAGGCCCAGAGCTACAGAAAACCATGCTTGTATTTGCAACTGATGGTGATTTTCAAAAATTAATATAAATTAACACATTCATGATGGAGCCATAATTCATGTCTCACTGCTGGGCAGCTCTAATCACCATTGATTCAAGCAAGACTATTCCCATTGAGGAGTTCTACTAGTAAAAAGACCAGTAAAAGTGATTAGAGCCACTTGTGCCACCAGATAGAACAGTTACACATACACGGCCAGTGGTGCAAGGTAGATAAAAGCTAAAAAGTGTAAAAAGTAAACATTTTGGAAAAATCTGTTTAGAATGATGTAAGCAAATAATATTTGGAATGCTGCATACTGAGATCTCAAAATAACATGTTTTTTTCCTGTTTAGTTGTTTAAGGCCTGCAGGGTCAACACTTTAATTAGTTTTAAAATTAAAAAATCACATTCTATAGTAATAATGATACCTACAAAAGTCTAATTCTAAGTGTTGTTGGAGTAAATTTAAAAGCATAAATGAATTCTGATTTTCTTTTCATTTATTATGGCAGCTATAACACACGCACATGGACACACACTTAAATGATAGAAAATAAAATCATATGCCAAATTGTCATTCTTTTTTTAATGCTTGATTGACTTGGATTAAATGACCATAATATGACACTAATGATAATTTAGAGTATTACTAAAATAAAAAGCCAATGTAAGCTGCTTCTGTGTTTAAAAATTTTAGGATTTATATTAAGAGAATGTTTGTCTTTCAGATAAATTTGCGCCTCATCTTGGTGAGTGGAAAAACAAAGGAATTCCTGTTTTCTCCTAGTGATTCTGCTTCTGACATCGCCAAGCATGTATATGACAATTGGCCAATGGGTGAGTAGTATTTTTCCTCTCAAGAATGAACAGTGTTATTTCTCCATGCCTCGCCTTGTTTCACAAGAACAAGCTGAAAAAGTCATAAGCCTATAAATGAAAAGGAACAAAAATGACTGAGGGTATTATTAAAGGAGATCTCTATTCTTTCTTAGATTTTGCCTTCAGCGTTCTCATTCCAAAATAGTAAAGAAGCTCAGTATGAAAAGTCATTGTTCTTGCTTTAGAATTATTCGTGTAAGCAAAAAATATTAGTTAAAAAGAAAAAATAATTAATGCACATAACACTTTCACATCATTAAACTTATTTTGACCAAATAAAACAGAAAAAAGAACCATCTTCAACTAATGGTTTCTTTGTTCTATATATAACCCACTTAAGTGTAAAATAAAGGTAAATTATAATTAATGCCACTTCACATGTTCCTTAACGAGGTCAAGAAGGACCAAGCTAATACCTGTATAACCAGCAGCTTTGGGTACGTTTGATATTCCTTCCTTTCTCTACTTTTTTTTTAATTTAATAAAACTCTGTCTTACCTCCATTTCTGTGAACCTCTTCATGTCGTTGTGACCCTTTTGCTGTGCATCCTTGTGGCATTCACAGTAAGGAAGAGACTTTCTCAGCTGATTTCATGTAATTTTATTAGCAGAATGCATTTGAATTTTAAAGGATAAGACCTTTTTCAGCAGATAACACAGTAAATACAAAATGACTATAGTGTTTCTCAACTGTAACATAAGGAACCATTTTTAGAGGTAGACCCCCTAGTACTTTATTATGATGTACATTTTAAAATATAGAAACATACAGTCCAATTAAAATTATTCATCCTTGTTAACTCATAAAAACCATAAAACTAAAATGAATCTATAAAGAAAATGCAAATATAACTCTAAAACTGATAGTGTTCACATTAACAGTACTGATGTGCTAGACCGTGTGTTTTTGTTAAAGATACCTTACTGCTTGCATCATGAATGCCTTTGTTCCTGCATGGTGCATGGTGACCCAGTCGCCAACACTTAGTGTACAGTCTTTATTCCTACACTGCACCACTGTCATCCAGCTTCTCTCAAGAGAGAATGTCATTTATGTATAAGTCAGGTTCTGTTCTTTTTTCAAACTACCTTGTCAAATAACGAAGTACTGGCTGCTTAGCATCATTATGATCATAAACCTAGTGCATCCATGGGCAATAAAAAATCCCAAGTCTACCCTTGATTATCAGGTGGTTATTTCAAACTTCTAGAGATCACTTCCAAATCATTAAAATGAAAATAATTTGAAAGTTCTCAAGTAGGGCTTCTAGACCATAAGAACATGTCTTTTTGGATTCATAGGCCAGAGTTTGAGAAATACTAATTTAGGCAAATACTTTGAACTACTAGATGGTTTTTTTTTTTTTTTTTTTTTTTTTTTCATTTGGTATCCAAAAGCTAGTTCCTAAATGAGGAGGGAACTGAAACTAAATGTCATAGCTGAAAAGGAATTGCAGAAAACGCTTGGGGCTCTCACAATACCGGATTTTTCTTCATAGACAGGCAAGATGAATAATGATCAGTATGAAAAATATTTTTAAACACCTGAGTGATTTTGTAGTAGGTGTAATAAAAAAGGTTACTTTTATGGTTTTTTTGGGGGGGAGCTTGAAGATGGCTTCTGATATATTGTAGAAAAGGAAATGTATGACAAAGGTAACCCCACTCAAAAATTTTATTTGGGCTATAGTACAACTTGAGGTAGAAGAAATACTTTTATTTTCTTAATTATTCCATTCCGTTACTAAAATTAGTTCTTGTTAATTCTTGATTAATAGTAAATAAAGATTGGAATTAAGTACAATGCATATTTTTGCCATTAGGAAATATTCTATGTGAAAAATCATATGTCAATGTTGAAAATTGTGTCAGTTAGATGTTTCTTGCACAGAAAAAGTTTTTAATGCCCACCCTCTCTTTAGTTTGCCAGATGCCTCAGCAAATTTATACATTGCAGAAAAAAAATTACTTTATTATATTTTATATATTGTAAAATATTTAAATTTAAATATTAGGCCTTTATTTATCATGTAAGGTTCAACAAAAGTAAATACTTGTTGATACTAATACCAAAGCTGTTTCTAAATTGTCTTTTGATTTTCTTTGAATAGTTTCTTAACTTTCCTATTTGTGTACCTTCTGTAGTATGTGCTATTTTGTAGGTTTCATCTGGATATTCATCATGGATAATAAAAAGTTTATCTTCTGTATTATTTGCCAATTGACCTACAAAAGATAATATATCACCATTATCTAATACATTATATTTTTTTAAAATTTATTTTAAAAAGATTAAGATAAAAGAGGACATAACAAAACAGATCAGAACAGAACAATTTAAGCAACATAGTATTTCATCACAAGACAACCCAACATAAAAATAGCTACCATAATGAATGTCTCTTCCCTTGAAATATTTGAGTATACCTTCATATACTATAGGATCAAACATAACAAAATAGTATAAAACCATTCAAGAGAAAGTATTACAGGGCATTCAGAACCAACTAACAGAAATCGAACAGAGGTTACTATATATTATCTCCTTGTCCATAAAAAATTTTGTTTATACTATCACATATAATAAAATCCAATAAGGTACATGATAGAACCAATGGAGACAGAAGAACAAAAGCATGGTAGGACTTCAAAATAAGATAATATTAAATCATTACTGGCTATTATAATGTCTTGTTTTCTTCAAAACAGCTGTTCATACCATCACAGACAATAAAATTAAACAACTCAGGATAAAACCATTCCAACTAGTGAATGAAAACATTATAAGACTTAAAAGCAATATAATGGGGAATTATGATTACCATAAATTTTTATGTATTCTTATCAATTCTTACACTAGGGAGACTGTATGGTATTTATACATGTGAGTTTGATTTATTTCGCTTATGAGTATGGTCTCAAGCTGCGTCCATTTATTTATAAATATCTCAATGTGATCCTTCTTTATAGCTGAGTAGTACTCCATTGTATAAAAATACCACAACTTTTGTATCCATTCTTCAGTGGATGGACACTTAGGTTGTTTCCAAGATCTGGGTATTACAAATTATGCTGCTATAAGCATGGGTGCACATATATCACTGTGGTATGATGCTTTCAGTTCTTCTGGAATATGCCTAGAAGTGGAATAGCTGTCTTGAATGGAACTGCCAATCCCAGCTTTTTGAGAAATCTCCAGACTGACCTCCACAGTGGTTGCACCATTCTACACTCTCACTAACAGTGCAGGAGAGTTCCTTTTTCCCCCACAGCCTCTCCAGCATTTGTTGTTGTTAGTTTTCTTGATCCTGGCCATTCTTTCAGGAGTGAAATGGAATCTCAGTGTGATTTTAATTTGCATTTCTCTAATGAGTAATGATGATGAACATTTTTTCATCTAATACATTATCTTTTTTAAAAATCTTTGTTCAAATTGTTTCTAACCTTTGTATATAAATTTAAATTAACAGGTACAAGTATTGGCTGCTAATTATTGGTAATTGAAACTAATTTTTAAATGTGTATCTCTTTACTAGGACTAGTTTTTTTCTAATTCATTTGTTTTAGTTGTTTAAACTATAGGCCTCTAATTTGGCACTCTTTAGTATTTTTTGAGAAACAAAAACTCGTCTTTTTTAAATCTCTTGGTATTTAATGACAGAAGTCAGAAAGAAAGGCTGCAATGAATACAAAAGCCATGACAATGTCCTATAACTGATTTGGGTTCAGATTTTTAAAACTGCAGTAGCTCCTCAATTATGTGTTGAAATGCACCTAATCAGTTCCCTGAATTCTTTTTAGACTGGGAAGAAGAGCAGGTCAGCAGTCCAAATATTCTACGACTTATTTATCAAGGACGATTTCTACATGGAAATGTCACATTAGGAGGTAATAGTCAAATTTATAATGGGATTTCATGTTTGTATAATGATTGCATTAGTATTCATTTTGAATTTACTTGTAAAAATCCTAGTAAATTCAGCTTTGGATTCTGACCTTTTTTTAGTGTGTTTACCTGTTTACATTTTATATCTCATTAAAATTAATATTCATGGTTTTTATGAAATGACTTTTGAGTATATAGGAGTCCATACCTGCCATTTTACAGATGTAATTGTATTGTACTCCTGGATAATTTAGGTGTATTTTAAGTTGAAATTGGATATACAGAATAGGAAAGATTTATAATAATTGGTTTTTAAATACATGAAGAGGTGTTTTCAGTTTGACTACAACTAGTCTGATTATTAATCATTAAGAATACATGTAAGTGGGACTGGGCATTTGGCTCAGCAGCCTAAGCGCCTGCCTGGCAAGCGTGAGGTCATGAGTTCGATCCCCAGTACCAAAAAAAAAAAAAAAGAGTACATGTAAGTGACTGCCATGAGTGTAGTAGTCTAGTATAGTGATTGCAAGGACAGATTTTGGACTCAAACTACAAATTGCCTCGTACCTCCTTTAGATACTGATGGGGAACCTCAGGCAAGTGACTTAATAAAATATCTGTCTCCCAGTTTCCTCAGCAGTAATGAGAAGTACAGTAATGCCTACCTCATAAATTGGGAGGAGTAAATTAGCTTATGTATTCAGAGTACCTAGACTATGCTTGGTACATAGTAAGCACTTTGTTAGCTGTTGTTCTTCACATGATTGGGAAAATGTAACTCTAGTGCCCTCTTATGGGGTACAGTTTTCTACCATCCTTAGGGGTGGTTTTGCTTTTAGTATATGCATTTTAAATATATTTCGATAATTGGAAATTTGTAGGCAAATTAATAATCCCTTAAATATATCTTTGTTTCTATATAGTCAGACTCTTCTACATCTGACAATGAAATGTTTAATGTGTTTTTCCTTAAAGGTACTTTATTCATTTATTTAACGTGTATTTATTGAACTCTTATTCTGTTCTAAAACTAGTTTAGAGATATGGGGAAATAAGATAAAATCTCTTATGAAGGTTTTTGTGTGTTACATTGGACAGAAGATAAAATCTGTTGTGCTAGAGGACCAGAACAGATGAGTAAAATGAATAAAATGTTAACTTGGTAGAATAAAATGTCAAGTTGGCAGGATATTTCATGGTGTGATCTCATATATAAGCCAGTTTTGGTGAGTGTTGTTATAATCAATCTAGCAAATGCTGTTGTCTATAAGAGGTAGCTGCCATTTAAAACTGGACTAGAGCTTTAGCCAGGACTGGTGGCTTGTGCCTTTAACCCCAGGTTCAGGAGGTGAGGCAGAAGTTTTGCCTGGGCTCCACAGTGAGTTCAGGGGCAGCCGGGACTAAACAGCAGCTAGGCTCTGTCTGAAAAAAAAAGAAAAGAAAAATTTCCAGCTTTTTTTTTTTTTTATCACTAGCTATTTCTATGATTTTTATTTAGTCAGACCAGTTTTAATGTACAAATGACCTGTTAACTCCCTGGTTGTTATATGATTGTTAAAGATGGAGCTATTTTTAACTTTTTAAAAAATTCTCTATGGTTTCAAGCTCTCAAGTTAAAATTGGTAAATGTCGGCTGAATATAAACTCACTGGACGAGTGACTCTTGAGAGTCACTGTCTCCTCCTGTGTTTTGTCCTAGGGGAACAGTTTCCCATCAGCTCTTCCCCATTTAGCTCTATATTGTGGCCCCAGTGTTCCAGGATCATAGCAGAGATAAAGAGTTGCATTAAACCAAAAATCGTTGACTCGTTTCCATTAAATTTTAAATTTTTACCAGTAGATTTTTGGAATATGTTTTAGAATGTATCAAACTGACTTACGCCATTAATGGACAGGCTCTTAACTGTCAATCTTTACAGAAGCACAGTAAGCCACCTCTCACCTTACTGGTTTAGATAATGTAGGAGCACAACTGGGACTGTTCAAGTTGATATTACAGCTGGGTATTTGAAAAATATATTTGAAAAAATAATATATTTTTTAATAATTATATTATTATTTTATTGTTATTATTATTTTTAAATAATAATTATATTATTATTTAATAATAATATAAAAATATATTTGAAAAATAATATTCAACTATTTGTCTTTTTGGTTTGCCTACATTCTTAAATATTAATAAAAAAAGATAGTGCACACAGTGTTGGAAGCTATCTTCAGATATTTGAATGGCTGTTGTAAATGAAGACAAGCCCTAAGAAAATTAGACCAATAACTAAAAATCAAAGACAGACACTTTTTAAGCTCCATATAAGAAAGAATATATGAAGACACTGAGTTGTCTACAGAAACTGTGGCCCGCTATAGGAACTCTGAGATCTTTATTGAAGAGGTGTTCAAGCAGCAAGTGACTGAAGCAGTGGGGGTGCCGCTCCCGAGGGATTCAGTCACTGTATGAAGGCTGAGTGGGAGGCTGGGACACTTCTCCCCTTTCTCTTTCTCACCCTTCCTTCTCTCCTCTTCTCTTTTTTCTTTTCCTTTCACAAGGTCTCCCCCTATTGCCCAGGCTGTCCTTGAACTCCTAAGCTTAGCCAGTCTTTTTCCTTCAGTTTGCCAAGTAGTTGAAACTATAGGCATGTGACACTGTCCCCAGTTTCTTCACCATTCCTGAAACTTTGTTCACAGAATAGTAGGTTTAAATTTCTGGTTACCAAGTCTCTCCCTTGAGGGACAGCCTTGCAATCCCATGGGACGTAAGTGCACTGAAGGAAACTGGTTGACAGCCTTAGTGATAGGAGGGGAAAAGCAAAAACTTTCGTGGTCAGCATGTTGTAGCTCAGTATTTCCCAAAATGTAGTTCTGAGATGGTGGATGTGAGAATCACCTCTCCTAAATACTAATTTTTATCTTTTTTAGTTTGTTTGGTTTTTGTTTTGTTTTGTTGGGGGTTTTTTCTTTGTTTGCTTGCTTTTTTTGAGACAGGGCCTTGCTGTGCACTTTAGGCTTACCTTGAACCCTCTTTGTAGCCCAGGCTGACCTCAAACTCCAAGCAGTCCTCCTGTCTCAGACTCTTGAGAGCTGGGATTACAGGCGCACACCACCATGCCTGGCTGTCTTTCTAGTGTTTATTTATTTATATTTTGTTGTGGTGCTGATAATGTAACCTGGCGCCCTGTGCATGCTGGACAAGTGCACTGCCATGGAACTACACCCCAGCCTTTGAGTACTCATTTTAAAGTGCAGATGCATCCTGATCTCCCAGTTTTTATAAACATTAAAGACTGAAACCTCTGTTGTACATATTGTCTAGTGTCGGCAGAAAGAAAAAGCATTCAGAAAACAGCATCAAGCAAACAGAAAGCATGTTAGATTCTACTGTTCTTCCTTCACCTGTAGTATTGTTTGCATCAATGTCTATTGTTGTAGTTAGCAAGGAGAAAATGGTTTGATGTGTCAAAACAGTACAGCTATGGAAACAACTCTATGAGTTAGATGTACTGACTGCTTCTAGTTTTATGCAAAGGACAAATGAGAAAAACTTTTTCATTTTTATCGGTACCAGGGAGCGAACTCACGACCGCCTGCTTGCAAGGCAGGTGCTTATGCCGCTGAGCTAAATCCCCAGCCCAAGAAAAACTTTTTAAAGACTTGATTAGAAACTATAATTAATACTGAAACAGATCTAATCTTTTTAGAAACTTACTTTATAATTGAAGACTCTAAAATTGAAAATATTTAAAATGGTTTGTTTTCTGTTTCTCCATTAAGTACCGTAATCAGTGCAGTAATTTTAGTAGGCAGCTGATATGCACTTAGATTATGTCTTAACCCAAACTTTTCCCTAATCTGGAAAAAGTATGCTGAAAAATGTTTTTAAAAGATTGTCACCTTTAACGGTAATCACTGATATTAACTAATTAGTTACATATTTTTCTCTTGTCCCCTTCTTTAAATAATATGGTACATTTGTCAAACTAATAGTGGTGCTAGGTTGGAACAGACATTTTTAAACTGTGAAATTTATATCTGGTAATATTAATTTACTCTCAGTATGTAGAGATCTTTTCTTTGGGAAGAGGTTGTATCTGTTGAAATCATATAAAAAGCAATCCATTTTTAAAATGCTTTTACTTCTAGTTGGTGATTTTAACAGGTCACTGTATATGTAACAAATTGTCTTCTGCTTTTTCTCTAGCATTAAAACTTCCTTTTGGCAAAACAACAGTGATGCATTTGGTGGCCAGGGAGACATTGCCAGAGCCAAACTCTCAAGGTAAGCCGTACACTAGAGTAATGTCTCACTTGAGCCACAAAGACAGGCATTCAAAAGTGGCTGGGTTTTTCTTGGCTATTCTAAAGGAGGGTAGTTTCCATACTTTATGAATAGAGCTTGCCAAGCGAACAACCAGGCATTTTTGGAATATGCCAACATTAAAAGAGCATTTATTAATAGCCTTTTTAATTCAGAAATGCAAAAATTTACAAAAGATGATTACACTTTGGTGCCCCTGTTCTAGTGTTCTTATTTTCTTCTTTGCCTAGGTCAAAGGAACCGTGAAAAGACTGGAGAGAGTAATTGCTGTGTAATCCTGTAAACACTGTCTGCTAGTGTGGTGTGATATAGTCTTTGTCTTTCATGCTGCTGGGACACGAGAGACCCAACATAGCTTCAGAAATCTTTAGGAACAGTCTGCCTGCAAATCCATGGAACTGTATTATCACATGGACACTCATCTTTTCTCATGAAAGTAAAAAATACCAGGAGCATTTTTCACTATCATTTATTATTCCTTGTATTTTTGTTTATGTTGAACAGTTTTAAAGTATATTGGTTTTTTAATGCAGTCAGTCTCCAGGGGAAAAGTTAGCAAATTATCTTTCATAGCAGAGACAGTTTTGCCGCCACAAAAATTTTCATCACCAGAACAAATCAAATATCCCAAATACAATTTGCACTAAAAAATATTGACATTATTTTCCTCATCAGCAGAATTTATAGCAGTTTATGGTACCTAGAAATACAATGTACAGTACCACACTGGAAGACACTCAGCAATTAATAAAGTTAATTACTGGGCCGACTTGAGAGGAACAAATGGAAAAGAAACTAAAGCGTTGGTTGAGTTCTACCAACATCAGTCATGGTGGCCGTACTGGCACAGAATATTAAACTGAGTGTGACTATTTTCACTGCAACAAATGAAAAAAAATGTGCCTGATGTTTAAAGCACTCAGAGGAGGGCTGATGAAACCAACTTCGTTCTTGTAACCCGTGCACTCTTGAGTCTTGCTGTTGCTGAGTGCTTGTTCAGACAGCACAAGGGAAGGGTGAAGAGTGCGTTTTTAGCCTTAATGTGGGAGGGCGCCATGTGTGCAGAGGCTTTCATTTTCATGCAGAAATAGCAGAGCACCTCATTGACCAGTTTTTACGTATTTGAATACCAGATAATTGGACGTATCCATATTTACTGCTCATCCATAACTGTGTCCAATGTTGTACTGACTCATTGGAGAGTTCAGATGAATTCTTAAAATTACAAAAAAAAATATCTCAGTACTAATTTTGTTTCTTTATATAGTTTGCATTTGGTATTAGTGCTTGCAGTTGTATGAAAATCAAATGCTGATTTTTTTAAGGTATTCATGATTAAGGATGCCACTCTTATTTTATACCAATAATTTAAAGATTGATACGCTAAAAACAATTTGCACAGCACTAAAGCATGAACTAGTTTCATCTAAATCTGTAAAAAAAATAAGAAAGATTTTATATTTTTTTCACTAGGAAAAAATCTTCCTGGATGAAATTACAAATATGTGTAGAATATATTTAATAAAAAACTTATAAGATACTTAACTATAGAACTTACATGTAGATTGGCGTGTAGTATATAGAACAATATTCCATATAAATAACTTTAGCCTTTTTAAAAATGAAGTTGCAGGCTGACATTATGTTCTATATTTAATAAGTGTTCATGACCCTTATAAGCATTAAGTGTAAATGGTTTCAAATGGTTGGCTTTCTTTAAATGCAATCAGGTTATTTTATCCATTGTTAATGCTTTGAGGAAAAGGCTTTATATGCAGTAGAGCTACAAAAATACTGTTCATACTGATCAGAATTAAATTTGTATAGAGCAGAGTTTTAAAATGAATGTAAATAGCACTAAACATTTTCTTTCAGATACCTGTACTTATAGATTCTTTCTGTAAACTAAATAAAAAAGATATTGTAGTGCATTTTGGTGATGACTTTAAAGGTCTTGATTAATATTGTTTAAGCACTGTCTCATTCATGTTAAAAATGTTTTCCACTGTTATTTCTGATCTTTTAAAGTTCATTTAATTAATATTTTCTTCTTGGTTTGGGAGTATTGCCAGTATATCTTTGATATTTAACCTGGTTAATTTGTGCTTAGTCACAACAGTGAGTAGAATTATGTAGTCTCTGTTTTTGCTACAATGTTATTTCAAGAGATGTTAAATATTTATATGCTTTGTGAACCAGTTCAAATGTGATTCTGTTACTGTTTACTAAAAAAGAACCTGGTAGTTACTGAATCGGGCAACTAGCCTTTATGGCTATATTCTTTGTTCATAAAACAAAGCATTGGTAATTTTTTCTAGTACTTATTTTGATTCTGATTACTCTTGAATTTTTCCAGTTAATGCTATGAGTTAATTTTGCATTTCTGTCGTAGTTTAAAAGCTCCCTATTGGTTTTCAGTATATTTTTCTGTGTGTTCTCATATATTTCCCTTTCGTAAGACCAAGAGGAATAAACTGATTTTAGTAGACAAAGAATTATGTCACTCAGTGACTAATATGGTTGTAAAAGATGAAAAAATAAAAATAACAGTAAAATTATATGCTGAAAACACTAAAAATTTAGATGCCTTAATAGTGTATACATGGAAGTACTGAACTGTCCCTTTAAAACACTTCTCGGACTGCCTGATGATTAAAATACAATTGAGCGTGTCCAAGGCTTCTATCGAAGAGCCCTCTGCCAAAAGCAGCAGTTCACTTACCTAACAGTGAAAGATGCACAGACCCGGTGATGTAAATAAAGCCTGAGTATGCCCCTCCCAGCAGTTGGTATCTAACTCTTCTCTTTTACCTAAAGTGTCCTAGACTTCAAGTGACCTGGACAAGGCAAAGCTTTTCTTTATCAAAACCTCAGCATGTCTCCCTGATCTGAACTATTTGCTTTCTCTTCAGGGTAAGTTGTATCTTACCATGAGAAATACAGCATCTAAATTCATCATATTAAATGAGCTTTTCTCATGACAAACATTTGTCTTTAGTTTTATGAAGTCATTTTCATCAATGTTACAGTAATTTATGTTAGTTGTGGTAAACAATGTTTAATGTGAAAACAAATTAAAACTTTCTTTATCTGTTGTAGAATATTGCTCTTCTTTTAAATAACTTCCATTCACAACTTCGGCAGATTTTTCTAATCTTTTCTCACTTCCTTTTTTCCTTTGTCTAGTTTATTCTCCAGTAACATTCAACCTGGTACCAGCCTTTATCTACTATATTTTATTAAAACCAAAGAGAAGTGACTAACCAACATTTAACATGCTTTTGTGCACACGCATTGGTAGCTGTGGCAGGTTTCTGTTTTTCCCGTTATTTTGTAATGCAGTCACTTGTTAGCCAGGAAAATCGGGTGGGGGCAAGGCTGAAAGCATGGCTGGAACGAGGCTTCAGGTTCTGGCAGTTACCAAGCACCCTGTCCACAGCCAGGACGGGCAGGGCCCTTGGCTGTGACAATAGTGTTGAAGGCAACTCCATGCGTATCCTGTACCCAGCATGCTTTCTATCAGAAGTCTGCACAGCGTATGGCTCTTACAGCTGGAAGAGTTGAAAGAGTTCATGGAAAAATTAAGAAACATCTGATTCTTCTCCATCAAAGCTTATGATCTTTGACAGCGATGTCAAATTTGTTTGTTTAAACTTTTTTTTTTTTTTTTTTTTTGGTCTTTTTCCTTTTTATCGGTACCGGGGATCGAACTCACGACTGCCTGCTTGCAAGGCAGGCGCTTATGCCGCTGAGCTAAATCCCCAGCCCCCAAACTATTTTTTGTGTTCTGCTTTTTTATTTTTTTGAAATGACAACTTTCAGGAAGTATGGGGTAGACACAGTAAAACAACATTTGGGAGAAGAAAACGTCAGTTTCCTTCATGTGATTCAACTAATTAAAAAAGGAGTTGAGTAAACAGTTTCCTGAAATGGCTCTGAAAGTGAAGTGGTTTTTTTGGATGTCTTTAGATAAAGAGTAACGGTTTTGGGGTGCAGTTGCTATACACCTAAATATTATATAATATCTAGCTTTTGTTTTCTACAAGCATCCTTGAAGCTGATTTGGTAGATGGTAGTTTACCATTCAGTGGGGAAAACTGCTATAGTAATACAAAGAGGTCACAGAATTCAGAGGGGAAAGTGACCCTTAGCAGACCTGGACCTTGAGCTGCTTTTCAGAATATCCAGATATTACTTGGAGGATGATTTTGGGCTTGTCCCATTCTTGAGCATCTGCGGAGTGAGAGAGGTTTCTCCCCTGCATTCTGGAGCATGGCTCCCCTCACACACTTCTTGTCGCATGGTGTTTTTCCCTGGGGACAACACTTGACTGAGTTCCACTAATTAGTGTGTCAGTTTCCCTCAGTTTTTTTAGAAGCATTTTTTTTCGTCTGCTAATTATATCCAACTTCACTTATGTTATTCGGTCCTCAAAATTCAGAACCATGAGAGCTCTGGGGCTTTGGAGTCAGGCCTGTCTTTGAGCTGGGCAACTTTGAGCAAGTTACTTAATCATTGAGCTTCAGTTTTTCATATATAACGTTAATAAAATACTTGTAGGTTTAGTGTAAGGATTATTTTAAAATCTTAAGCATTACTTTGCCCAGGAACGTACATGACAAACCTGTCAAAAGGCAATGAAGAACTAGACATCAGTGTGTACTCCCACCTTGCTAAGAGCAGCTTGTAAAAGGTCAGAGAACGTGGGTGATGATGTGTTCAAAGCCTTTCAAAAGAAAGAAAAAGAATGAGAAAACCATCAGAAGAGAAATAGAGGGCCCTGCAATTCATCAGTGATACACAACCTCAGACATTTATATACCAGGCTGTAGAGTGTGGAGAATAAGAATTGGTTGTATTGATATACTGACATAAGTCTATCAAAATTTGTGATGGAATTACGTGTCTACAGGACCCAAAAGAACCATCTGATCAAAGTGGGAAACAGCACTGATGGGACTTCATAAACGAGAGGGTGAGTGAGGCATGAGTAACAATGAAAAGAGGCAAAGTGATTGTGAGATGATTCTGTGTGTTTCTGTAGATTGCAGCTATTGGCTCTTGTTTCATGATTCATTCTGCCAGTCTTTCTTTTGATTGGTGACTGAAGACCATTTGTTTTGGTGGTTTTAATGGATATGTATTGACTTATCCTTGTCTTATTACTTTCCTGTTGTTGGTTTCCTTTCTTTCCCTTCTGTTTAATTGCTTGTCTTGCCTGGTGAATTGATTCTGTTGGGATGCTTGGAATTGTCTTTCTCTAGAATATCCTTTAGAACTTTTTGGAGTGCTGGTTTGGTGGTCATGAATTTCTTCAGGAGCTCTTTATCATAGAAGTATCTTATCCGTCAATTTTGAAAAGTAATTTTGCGGGTTGCATCAATTTGGTTGAAGGTGGTTATATTTTAGGACTTGTAATACTTCACTCTAAGCTCGCCTTGTCTTAAGGCACTTTCAACACTATCGTGTTGAAAAGTCTACTGTAATTTGGATGGATTTTCTTGTATAGGGGATTTATTTCTTTTCTCTAACATCTTTTGGTATTTTGTTCTTGTGTTGAATTTCTGGAAACTTGACTATTATATGCCATGTAGTTTCTTTCTGATTGTGACTAAGTGGTTTCTATATACTTCATTTATCTATATCTCAAGGTGCTTTGGTGGTGGGCCCCCAACCCCCATGCTTGGAAAATTTTCTGTTCTCTCTGAGTAGGTTTTGTATGACTTTTGTGTTATCTGGTGATTCTTCATTGATTTGAATTAATCTTATATTAGACTTTTTAGCATTATCTAGTAGATATTATATTGATTTTTCATCATCCCTTGCTATTTTAGGAGGCCTTTCATTTGATGATTGCCAACCACAACTCTGTCTTCTAAGTCACATGTTCCATCTTCACATTGATTGACTCTGCTACTTACACTTGCAATAGAAAATTTAATCTGGATTATCTCTGTTTTGTTTTTCTCAAAAGACTTATTGATCTGTTTTATTACTTCCACTGCTACCATTTCATAAAATTCAGCTCGGAGGCTTTTTATTTCTCCCACCTCCGTGCCCCCTCGATTTGCCTTAGGCAAGTTGGGGAATATACATCTTGCGTCCGCACTTTTTCATTTTTGTTTTTGTTTTTATCTGTTTTCTGTGTTGAGGCTTGTTAGTTGATTATGATAAGTAGCTTTATCACTATTATCAAGACCTCTTGAGGGATGACTACTTTTCAGAGATGTCTTTTAGGCATAGCTGGCTTTTGAGTCTGTCCGCAGATCCTGCCTCTTTAATTTATTAAGGATGAAGGGTTGCTACCTGTTTGGTCTAGCACTCAATTCTTTGGTACAGAACTATAGTATTGTTTTTTATCCCTCCAGACTTTCTAGGTATTGGCATACAAGGAAGATAAATTGATCACAACTACATCCTGGCTAGTACAATCAGCGATAATAATATCAAGTACAGACTAGAAAATAACAAACCATAATAACTAATAATTTACCACCATTTAACCATAGGGGCAAGATTTGTAGTTATATAACAAAGTCTAAGATAAATCAGAAAGTTACGTACAGTAAGTATCCACTCAGTAGAACGATTTTACTCTCAGGGTAGAGTATTTTAAAAAGGATAAGAGGAAAAATTAACAGAGGTTGGAAGCACAACCAACGGATAAAGGAAGATTACCCAAGCTTGGGAAACTGGTGAAGAAGGCAGGATGGAAAGAAAGGGGGGGAAAAGAACAAAACCAAAAAAAATCAAAACACTGTTCATATTCATGAAAAAACCATTTTGAAAAAGAGCAAAAAAGGTATGTGATTTCAAGCATTTGGTTATCTTCTGGGGGCTGCGGCTTTGCTGTGGTTTCCAATTCAGGGCATGGCTCTGCTTTTGCTGGTAAAGATCTGGATTGGATAATACGAGCAAGTTTTCAGTAAAATTCAAAAGCGGTGCTGATTCTCATACAGAAGTATAAGCAGCTCCCGGCATCTGGTCCCTGGTTTAGGGCTTGAGTTGTTCATCCTACAGTGCTCTGGGTGTCTCTGGATCCACCCTGACCATGCCTCCCTGACGGATGTCTCCCATGGGTGGCCCTCATCCAGTCACTGGGGGATTTCAGTACTGGGAACCCTGAGTTGAAGCCAGTCCATGGCTGCCCCACTCCTCGGTTCAGTCGGCCCCTCCTGAAAATGGCCTCCATCCAAGTACTCCCTCCAGGGGGACAGGCCAGTCCCGTGGACTGGAGTTACTTAACAACTGTTGGAGGTGACAACATCCGCTGCTCTGTACAATTGGTATGCTTCTCCCTGGAGACCTCGGGGGTCACCTGCCCTCCCTCCATCTCTGTAGATTTGATTCTCCTGTCTCACATCACCAGTCAGGAACCAGGGAGAAAGTGCAGTTTTGCACGTCTGCCTGCCTTCTGCACTGAGGTCTGTCTCTTCACTTCTCCAGCTTTCCCTTCAGACCTGGGTCCTGGGAATCCAGCTTCTCTTTTCTTCCCCAACTTGTTCAGAGTCTGATTAACTCCTGACTCTCTGATAAAGTCATACCATCAAGGTAACAGAAATGATGCAACTATTGTGCTTTTGTTCATTTCAGTCCAAAGAGAAAGAAAGATGCTAATAGAAATGTGGGAAGCCTACAGAGGAACAGTCACATCCTCTTAGATTTTTGCAATGATATATCTAAAAAACACTAGCAACCGCTTCTCCACAACCCAACTTCTACCTAGCTGGCTGAGCAATATGGGAGAGCACTGCTATTTTTGACCCATTAGTCTCATTCCAGACACAGAAAGCGCCTTCCTTTTGGTGTGACTGGTTCAGCAGTGGGCATAGACCCCTCCCTGAGACAAGACAACTCTGCTGACGGTGGCTGTGGGGAAGCTCACTCCCAGGGGGACTTACAAGAGATTTTCTTTTTGCCACTAAACATTATTTTCTTGTGACATTTGAAATTGTGACAGCTACCTTGCTGCCGTGTCACCAACCCAAGGGCAGAGCCAGCACTTTGAACTTGCAAAGAAGAAAGGTAGAAAAAGACCTACATGCCAGTCCTGGGATCTGAGTCAGTCACCAGCTCCTCGTACATCTGAAGAGCACATGCC